AAATAATGCGATTGAGTTTGTTAGAATCATATAACGATTTAGAAACAAGAATACAATTTTAAGAATAAAATATATTTTTCATAAATATCTATTTATTATTGATGCCAGTGAACATTTATAATTGAAGAGAATATTCCATACTTAAATAAAAGTAAATAGCATTCAAAAATAAAAATATACGTGAATCAGGAATTCATTTTTTTCTGTGTTTAGATAACTTCTTATACATTTTCTTCGAATTATTAAAAGTAAAAGAAAATTTGTAATTCTGATGCTATTTACAAGAGGTTATCCAATGATATATTTCCAATAGGAATGTATCATGGATAGCTTGAACTACTTATTGTAATATTTTCTTCATTATCATTAAAATATATTATTTATTAAAATTTATAGTGTCTGTATATATTACTTTCATAGAAGTTTGAAAAATTATAGAAGAAAATATTGTAATAAGAGTTGATTAATCTTTTTAGTTGAATGTAAATCTTTTTAATGAAACATCCCTATTTACATCCTTTTGTAAAAAAATTTAAAGAAGAATTTTATATATAAATTTAAAATTTTAAATAGTGCTGACCATTTTGATTAATTATGTTTTATCATTTTTCGGACAACATTATTATCGGACTTCATTATTCTATTTCGAAAAAGTTTTTTTAACGAGCTAAAAAAATGGAAAATTTCTTTAAACTTTCTAAAATTTTTCAACAAAGAATTCTATAGCATATTTGTATTTCGTCTGTAAAGATTATAATGGCAAAACAGTAGGAAAGATCGGCACATCGGAAAGAAAGGACATTTCTATTTATCAAGTTACATCAGTTTTCTATGAATGGTCGAAGAAATATGACATCTGCCATTATTCTAATAGAATAGTATATTCCTTTCAGTCTTAAACAATGAACCGGACCGATGCATAATTAAAATATGAGATGTTCTTTGAAGCGACCATAATAAATGTCTTAATTATAATTATAATTATACTTTATTATTTAATTTTATATAGTATAATTATATAGTATAATATAAATTTCTCGCACAATCAATTATATTGTAAAAATAAATTTAACATTATAAATTAAAAAATTTAATATATAGCGAGACAAGAGTTTTAAGTGAAGTAAGAATCATTATAGAAATTATTGTAGAAGATATGCAAAATGTGAATAACAGAAAATTTTTTATAATTAATTATATATTTTTTATATAATTAATTATAAAAAATTATTCAAAAAAAATAAAACTATTTGAAAAAAAATTTCAACAATGGTTTAACAGCAGTTAACTGATCTCATTATAGTCGAGGTGCAGCTCTTGAGGCAGAACATTTTCTGCCATCGATTTAGCAGTTTAATACGATCGATAGCTTGTTAAGATGCGAGCTACAAAGAGAAGGATATATGAGCATCACAAATGTCAACACAAAAATCGAGTTTTAAGTTATATTTAAATCCATTGTTCGTTTTAGACAATTCTTGACATTTCTTTAATGACTTCAATTAATTTAATCACGAATATTTATAGGCATTTGATTGTTGATTCACACAATATATAATACATATGATGTCTTTCTAACATCATTAATTGTATGTCATGAAATTTCTTCGAATAAAGATCAATCTTTGGAATATCTTAATAGTTCGGTTTTCATTTACCATCTTTTCTTGGATCCTCGTGCATTGTCGTGATTTTTCATTCATTTTTCATCGTCACCGTCACCATTCATTTAAAAAATGGATCGTTTTTGTTACGTTTAGCAGCAAGTCAAAATTGATGTTCATTAATCATTAAATTCTTCTTAGTCAGTTCATATGATATTTAAACGTCATTAGTTGAGTTTGCAAATTTTCAATGGATTTCGTTATAATGAATTATACATATTATATCTTCGATCTCACTAGCTGTTTGATATAATATGTAGATTTCATCAATATTTTGATTCAATCAACTTTAGCCAATTTTTCAGAGTGTAAAGAATTTTTAATTAAAAAAATTTTCTCCACAAAATATAACAAACGAATAATAATTTGAATAACAAGTTGCTTCTCATTCTTCATTTAAACCTACGTCAGCATCCTTTGCGATAATGAATTGTTCTCATAACTTACTAGCATCTGATATGTCTTATATCTGCGATCCGACGAATCATCTATTTACATGTTCAATTTGCGGCTTCAAGAACTTGTTTTTAAACGTTTTCTACTGTTTGTAACTATTGTTTATATAATTTAAGCTTTCGTTTAAATTAGCATTGAGGAAGTCTAAAAACCATAGTCGAAACGTTTGCAATTTTTTTGTAAGTTGTAAATAAACCTATATTTTCGCATTAATATAGCTGCATAAATTTTTATCGCTTATTTGACCTTTCTTTATTGAATAATAATTTATTATGTATGTACAATACATAATAAATATATATAAAATTTTTGATTGTCATTATAATCTTTAATTTGTGAATTTTAAACATTGTTATCCATAAAAAAATATCAGTTACTATTATTCGATCTTACTATTCTCTTATATAATTCTTCATTAAAGCTGAAATATCTTACATGCGTAAATTAATATTATTTTTTAACTATAGAAAACGTATATATATGTCTTCAAAGAATATCTTATTTTCGAACCGCACTGAAAGAAAGGATTTTAATTTTGTTAATTTAGCAAGCCACCAGTACCTGTTAATGGTGATCAGTAAATATGTGACAACAAATTTTGTTGTTGTGTTTGTTGCTAGTCTGCTATATCAACTAATTAGTAGTAACAGAAGCAAACTATATAGAATCTAACCTATATTTTGGATAGACTTTAGGCTCGTTTACATAGAATTCGTAGATGATCGTGGAGTCTTAAATCGTAGGAAATCAATCACAGTCAAATGTAGGGAGAATTCTTGACTAGAATTGATCAATTTTTTAAGATTTGGGATCCTGCAATCGTCTACAACTTTTATATATATATTTCTTATTTGCTAGCGATGCTATTGATTATTTGTTACATTGACGAATTAATTTGCAATCGTAACAAATCGATCGGTTTTTTAACAAAATACATTTTTTTAAATATTACATTTGCTTTCCCTTGATTTGTTCCTATAACAAAATCATTTCTCTCAGTGCGCTATATATACACCCAATTGTGTCAATGGAAAAGTATAATGTGATATATATTTTACATATATACATAATTTTCAATAGTACATTGGTAGGATAACGCTATAGCAACATCGAACGTAAAAGATCAAACAGAATTATGGAAATTCACTTTTATTTGTTCAGAAATGCTAGATAGCTTGATAAGAATGGTCAAATGGAAAATCCAGCTTTGATTTTCAACTCTATCATTTCACAGATATAAAGAATGTGTAGAAAAATAATGTGTAATAATTACAAAAATTACTAATAAGCATAAACTTAATAATCAAAAATATCAATATATATAAATGTAAAAAATATTTATATATTCTGGAAAAATATTTTCTTATAATAGAAATAAAATGAAAAAAAATATATATATATATATTTGTTTTTCATTTTATTTCTAAAATAAATTATTTCTAAAATTTCATAAATATATATATATATATAAAATAAGAACTCATATTAAAACATTTTTATCAAAAAGTTAGAAATACCGCATAATACTTTCTTCGAAGATGGAATTCTAATAAGAATTAAAATAGTTTGTGCATTATCTAAAGTCGAATGTCTCTCTGAAATGCGAGATAGAGAGACGCGTATCTTTTTTACGTCCCGTTTTTAAGATTCTGGAATGCATTGTTGCTAAGCAGTTATATTTCTTTTTTTGACTCTGAAAATATATTTAACACAACATGTCAACTATCATCTTTTAATAAACAGATTGAAATATTCGAATTTTTCTTGTGTATTTTGTTGAATATATTTCTATTTGAATTAGAGAAAATAAATTTCGAGATTCGATCATTATGATTCAGTAGTACTTCTAAGTTCTATTCCTTTTAGTAGGTATTTATGCTTCTAAGTATTAAAATCTTTATTATTCGTTCTTTATCTAATGATCTTTAATAAAGTGTTAAAGAATTACAAGTCACTTAATAGTGATGATTTATTTGCGTACGAATCTTTATGGTACAAAAAATAAATCTTTATGATACAAAGTTGAAGATTAGTATGTAATTAATTAAATAACTAATTAATGATAAGATTACATACATTTAAAAAAATAGTTATAATTTTATTTAATAATAATTTTACAATATATCAATAATATCTGTTTTACGGTATTATATAATTGCTAATATTATTATACTATATATTTATTGTATATACTGTACATATGAGATAGTTTATCTAATTCACCTACACTTAAAAAAAAATGTATGAAACGCATATACATACTCATATACATACGCACTTTTTGTTCATTTTTATATTATTATTAATTTCTAAAAAAATGTATAATATTAAACGTACAATATTAAAACATCCTCTTGATAGAAGCGTTTAATAGATAGTAATTCATTCCCCTCCTCTCTCTTTCTCTCTCTCTCTCTGATGAATATATGATTACTTTCTATATTTCTATTCTATAAAATATAAAGAATATATTTCGATATAAAGAACCGGAAACTCGTTTATATCGCCATCATTAAAAATTCTATTTTTGTCGTACATCCTGAATGTAATATGTATATGGGATGTTAACTTATCTTTCATGTTAACCTTGGCGCTTATGTTAATCGTCAAGTGAAACTTCAAAAGCACAGGTATATATGCTGATGTATCTGTCCTCATTTTAATGTTGGTCGGTCGTATAGCTATCAGCTTTCGCATATTCATATGTATGTGAAAAATGAATTAACCTTGCTTTTTGAATTTCACTTGAAATCTATTAAGCATACATTATTTGTAAAACACAAACGTACATGATCACTGAACAGTATATATGAACTGATATAAATTATAAATAAAAACAATGACTTATTATTTATCAATTTTTGTCATTTTATTTTGCAGGAGAAGAAAATGACTTTACATCAGATGGTGAAGAGAGTGGTGGTGGTGGAGGAGGTGGCGAGGAAGCCGTGGATCTCACAGCGACGAGATCTCATCAGGGCGACGATGATCCTATGGAAGAGGATGAGGAAGAAGGTATTGATGAACAAGACGAACAGGATGAAGATGAGGAGGGCTCTCGCAAACAGATTCATCATCGACAAGACGCGGAGAACAATAATAATTTTGTGGAGAGCGGCTTACCTACCGCTATATTCCCACCAGCTGGAACTAGTCACGTCACCCTCGAAGCCCTTCAGAATACAAAAGTGGCGGTCGCTCAGTTCGCTGCCACTGCTCTTACTGGGGCAGACAGCGAAGCGGCGCTACAAGACCTGGCATTTCTGGAAAACACGTTGTGCACCCTTCAGAATCAACAGGTATTACAATTACAGTTGATTCGACAACTTCAGCAGCAATTATTGATCACTCACGGGCAATCGGTAATGCAATCGTCGACAGAGCCAACCGATAACAAAGAGGCTTCGCCGTCTCCTATTATTCATCCGAAACCATTGTCGAGTCTCGCGTCACCTCCTTCTTCTCGTCCGCCAAGTCATCATCAGCAAACATCACCGGCGCCGCTGACACCGAGTCTACTTCAGGAACGACCCACCTCGACGAGCAGCGCCTCTCCTTTGAATCTACCCTTATCTTCGTCCAGCACGACATCAACTGTCATTACGACCACCAGCAGCCAGATGCCGATGCCACATCAAATACCACATTGCTCGATAAGCGCTTCCCTCGCTTCATCGATCATAACGAACACCGATCCGCCTCCGCTTCACGAGCCAAATACTCTGGACATTCTTCAAAAACGTACCCAGGAAGTATTGGATAATGCGAGTCAAGGACTAGCTAACAATTTGGCCGACGAGCTCGCGTTTAGAGGCAAGGGCTCGCGACTATCTCCTTACGATTCGAAATCAAGCGGTGGTCGCGGCGAGCCCTTCTTCAAGCATCGATGTCGCTTCTGTGGCAAAGTCTTCGGTAGCGACTCGGCGCTACAAATCCACATACGATCCCACACAGGTGAGCGACCTTTTAAGTGCAACGTATGTGGCAGTCGATTTACGACCAAGGGCAACCTGAAGGTCCACTTCCAAAGGCACACGGCCAAATTTCCACATGTTAAGATGAATCCGAATCCTGTTCCAGAACATTTAGATAAATATCACCCACCCCTCTTGCAGCAAATTGCTTCCGGGAGACCGATGCCGTCTCCGCCGCCGCCGCCACCACCATCCTCTCATCACCCCCCGTTTCATCCGGCAACAACGCACGGTTTCCTCCCACCACAACCACCCATACCTCTGAGTCTCACCTTATCCAATATGACGCCCCTTTATCGATCTCCAGTTATTAATCATCGGGACGATCAAGATGTACCGGAGAATCTTAGTAAACCTATAACCACCGCTCCACAGACATCTCCCACTTCTCCCGCTGCCGTATTGAATTCTCGTCATTCCTTTCATGACAATCTCCATCAACAACATCAAAAGCAGCAGCTTGAACAGAGAGAGGAGATAAAACTCGAACAGAGATCACCCGTACAGGAGCAGTATCAACGACCGATGAGTCGGGAAGGCGCTGAGCGAATAACACCGAAGAGAGAACCTGAGGAAACGGAAGAAGCTGCAGAGGAAGAGAGCGAAGATTTTGAGGATACCACGAGACGATACCTTAATTCACCTCAATCCGCAAATCCACCGTCCCAACCGCAAACGTACGAGGATTGTAGTATGGATAGCAAAATCAGTGGACGTTTAGAGGGCGATGGAGAGATGGAAGTGGACGAGGAAATAGAAGAGCAGCCTGAAAATCTCTCAGGCAGAGGTACAATTAATCGTTTGCCTCAACAGATCGTGACATACCCAGGAGCATCACCAGCCAGCAGTAGCGCGAGTAGCGGTAGTTTACAGACATCTTTCGCTGGGATTCTGTTTCCAGGTCCCCCGGCTCATCACCAAATTCCTCATCTTCCTGTTTCTACACAGACAGGACCAACTACGACATCCGGAAATGAAATGATCGATCCAGCAAAGGACCCAGCAATTTATTCGACTTTACTACCACGGCCGGGCAGCAATGACAATTCCTGGGAGAGCTTGATTGAAATAACGAAAACTTCAGAAACGTCCAAGCTACAGCAACTAGTCGACAATATCGAGCATAAACTGAGCGATCCTAATCAGTGCATCGTTTGCCACAGAGTGCTCTCATGCAAGAGCGCGTTACTGATGCATTATCGCACTCACACTGGCGAACGTCCTTTCAAGTGTAAAATTTGCGGTCGTGCTTTCACGACGAAGGGCAATCTGAAAACCCACATGGGAGTGCACAGAGCTAAACCACCACTGAGAGTGTTGCATCAGTGTCCTGTGTGTCACAAGAAATTTACGAACTCTCTCGTATTGCAGCAACACATACGTCTTCATACTGGAGAACCCACCGATCTCAGTCCGGAACAGATTCAGGCTGCAGAAGTGAATGAGTTCCCACCTGGTTACCATCCATTGGCATCTTTTCTCCCTCAAGGCTTTCCACCGATACATCCGACCAGTACAGGCTTCTCCTTAGGATTTCCTCCATCCAGGCAAACGGCCATCGAACAACAATTACAGGAGAGTGACGTCGAAACGAAAGAGGAATCTCAGCACCAACGTCAGAGATTTATGGAGGAGCATAGCGAAGAGATGGAGGATCAAGAAGATGAAGAGCAAGATCACAGAGAGGACGATGAGAGGTGCGAATTGAATCGCGATAGGCGTAGCGTCGAAATTGAAGAGGAACAGGATCACGAAAGTGAAGATACAACCGAACACAAGGACGTAACTCTTCCTATATTTTCGACTTCGTTGGCAGCACTCGAAAACCAAGTAAGGACCATCACGACGACAGCCACAACTACGAATGTAGCTAGGTCGCCGTCCTTTCATCGATACAACGGTAGCGAGAAAAGTACTAGCCCACCAACATCCGGAGCTCCGCTTGATCTGACGCCCCGTGCTTCGTCCACGCCAGCGTCGGTGGCTTCGGCATCGCCCACACCACCACCCCAAACCATGCCGCATCATCCACCAAATCCCTTCGGCATGTTCGCGGGACTACTACAAGCGGTTTCGTCCACTCCTGCTACTAGTACGATAGGCACTTCGAACATAAACAGCGTCACGTCGATGAATGCCGTGAATCCGGGAAGTGGACCCGGCACCGGACCACTAGCCTCGCTGACCACTTCAGCTGTATTAGCCGCATCATCGACCTACAATCCGCTTGGCCTAGCTGTTGGAGGCCCAGCAGGTAGGAACTGCTAGCATCAGGGCGGGCTGCGGTTCCTGCTACACCTTATTCCTCGTCCGACTATGATCATAATTCTTTGCCGCGAATCGTTAAGTCCAATCTCGTCGAGTATATACCTTTATCTCAGTGGCGTATCCGTCTTATCCAATCTCATATCAATGTCCTGTTTGTGGTGTAGCTGGACCTAGCACTCCCATTCTCCTGTTATATAACTTTCTTTTTTTTTTATTTATCTTGTTGCCTTTGTTTCAATAATCATCTTTGTTCTTTTCTCTTTATCTCTATTTTTATATATATATCTGCATTATATTATTATATTATTATAACCTATATTATTATACTCCTTAATCGTCTTTCTTATATTCCTTAATGTTATGCGATAATTTCTGTTTTTCATTGTATTCACGCTATCTCGCGATACCGCGTCGCATACGAGTGTAGAATGTCTTTGTGATTTCATCATATTTAAAACCGTGTAACTTCGATTTACTTATTTTGGCTTATTTTTATTTATTTTTTTTTATTTAGAAAACTAAAAGTGAAGACTCGGCCTCAATATTAGAAAACAACTGGAAGTTAATCATTCTACATTAATACAATAACAATTGATGTCCGCTTGGAAAAGATTCAAAGGCAAGTAGGTTTATAAAATACGAAAAAATGGCAAAAGATAGCGAACAACAATAAGGAATATTCTTTAAATCAATCTTATTAACTATTCTTATCAACAATACGATTTGAAAAAGAGATGGCCACATTATCTATAATAAATTAGTAATGATGATACATATTATGAATATTAGTTATATTCCAATGCGTTCAAATAATTTCTTATTATTGTATTTTAGTATTATTTTTTACTCTATTATTTTTTAGTTTCGGATTTTAATTTAGATATAATATTCAACATTTTTAATACTCGTATATAGGATATACGAATCCCAGAATATTTCAGACAATTTTCGTATGTCCGTAGAACAGACTGAATAAAAAAGTTGTCATTTTGCAATTTTCGCAATAGTTGACGAGATATTAATTTCTAAAGATCACGTATTCGCCTACCGCCAAATATAAGGTAGGATACGACCGCCCAGCATGAGGAATTGTTTTCTTTCGCTGTCATGTACATAATTCTGTTGCTGCCGTAATAAACTCCCCTCCGCGCGTCTAGGGATCATAACGAATAAGCGTGTTTGGTGGTATGGGTAGAAATCCGCTTATGCGAATTTTTAAAATATATACACATATATGTATATATATGTTAGGAAATAAATGTTGTACAAAATGTATAATACAAGATGAAGAATTAAAGAATGAATTAAAATAAGTCAGAGTGGATCGGACAACAGTACAATTAATAAAATTGAGAGCGACTGAATATATATAGTTCAGTTTGTCACTTAAGAGTTATTATAGGGCTGTAGCAAAATACTTCTGTAAAAATTAATTTTCAGATGATTGTTGAAAATTATGTGAGAAAATATTAATGACTAAAAAATCGATATAAACTAAAAAGTACAAAGTGAAAAGTACAAATCAATTATCGTATCGCAACGAATCATATTTGAACGCGTTTATCTGTTTATATTAGTTCTAATCGTGTGTTTAGTCCACCACTTACACCTTATATTTGATTTAAATACAATAGGCTGCGACGGTGTAAACGCTTGTGAAGCGACTCGACCTGGCTTGGATCTTTTTTTAACGATTCCTGTCTCAAGCTATATGATTTAATGAGATGTAACGCGTGATGTAAATGCAAGTAGACTAAAATCGGTCTATAAATGCGTAAAGTATAAAGTATATACTGACAGGTAACTCTACTTTATACATTTTGTTGGTATGCAATTATGCGTACAATTGTAAAACAAATTATTATAAATATAACGTGCAATAAATGTTATTAGAAACGTAATTTACAATTGGCAATTACATATAGATTAAATGCGGTTTACATTAGGTCCAAAGTAGTCATAGGTCTATATGATGTAAACATTTAAAAATGTATTTTAAGTTAGGGCATAGGTTAGATTAGATTATATTAGGTCAGATCGCATATAAACTAGGCCAATATTGATATGTTAGAGGATTAATGTAATCATTAAAGTATTCTATAAAAGAGATAATTCCAATATCAAGCTGCTTCTAGTCCTGATAAAGTAAATTGCAATGTTCACAAAACGTTAGCATTCTAATAATGGATCTAGATACGGAGATAATCTGCGAAACGCATAACTTCTGTATAAAAAAGATCATTATTGTTTTACTTAATTTTGAAATAAATATGACAAAAATTTACCTTTCCTATCCTTTCTTATAATTATGATTATAATATTCAATACAAGTAATGCAAGTTTAGCTAAAGTTTATTATTAGTTTAACTTATTAGTTAAACCAATATAGCACAGAAGATAAGTATTGCAGATTGCAATATAACATTGCAGAGATATTACAGAAATGTAAATTAACAATATCAGTAATATGCTTGTAATATTCCAGAAACATTGCAAACATTGCATTGTAATTCTTTAATTGTTACAATAATAATAATATAAAAATATAATTTTTTACAATATTCATGCAATACAGTCTTTTAGTTTAATAGCCATTTTTATGATATAATAATTAATATAATCAATTTTTATATTTAAATAAAAAATTAATCTATTATTTGACGGCCATTTTTTGTTAGCTAATGGTACATTCGGTACATATGCATTGATTCTAGTGCTGCCCTGACACGATGCAAGTGTAGAACTATACTAGATTGATGTGACCTGGTGCAGAATTAAATTTGAAACTAATATCGTATATTACAACTAATGATAATAAACATAAATATTTTCATTATCAAAAGTATTTGTTTTTTATCATATATATATATTATCATTATATTCTTCTTTGTCCAAGTATTCATTCACGATGTCCACATAATTTTTATCTTTTGGCCTTTCTTCTTTTATTACACATAACATATCTTCTATTTCATCATCGCTACTACTTGTTTCTAATAATTCATTTATAATAAATAATTTTAGTCTTTTTTTATCCACCATTTTATAATTTTTTGTTGCCTAACTAGTTTTGTTTGTTCGTACACCAAACTGCATTGATAAAAATGTCAGTGCAACATTTCTTGAACTCATTCGGTTCATTCGATTGGTCCGAATACAGCACCACACTGGGTCAGTTTTCATTTGCCGAATACGACAATTTGAACGCATTGATACATGCGCACAACCCGAAAGCGTGGCACCGAAGAAATTCGCACTTAGTGCGCACTAGTGCAGTCTATCGAATGTGCCATTTTATATTTATAAATTTTATATTTATTTTAAATATGAAATCGAAAAATTGTATAATATAGTTTGGATGCAATTAATGCATCATTATCGGATAAAACAATAAGCAATTAAGCTGCTGAAAATGATTTATTGAAATATTAATTATGTGATCGATGATGTATTTATGTCTGATGTGAACGCAAGAATAAACCAGCGCCTGAATTTTATTGATAAATTTCATACCGTCATTTTTTAATCGATTTCAGTTGACTCGGAGTGGCTTCGAATTAAAAAGAATCACTGCGATTAACTTAATTTATGATTAACTTACCAAGCGATTGTATTATTATGTTAATGTGGATAATATTTGTAGTTTGTCGGAGCACACACATACATACTTTATTTTTACAAATAAATTTATCCTTCAGAATTAATAATATATTTATTGGAATATTTTTATGGTTTTATAATAAAAAATTGCTTTTGGAAAGCACTTATCACTAGAAATGCGATTTGTAGAAAAATTAAAGTTAGTGAGATATATGTTAATGAGATACAGAAAATAGCTTTCATTTTAGGGTCTTCGTAAAACATTTATCCAAATGCATTACATTGCAATATTGCTGGAACGTTTCGTTGCAATATAACAAAAAGCGAACACCTTAATATTATTGGAATCTTGCAGCAATGATTCAGCAACATTTCACAACCACCATGCAATATTTCTGCAATCTTTCTGTACTGTATGAAAAGCTATTAACAAAAGGAAATAATAAAATAATGACAATATGTTATAGGCCAATGTTAATCGGTTTTTGTATTTAAGATTATCTTAAGTACAAATCTTAAGATATCTAAAGATATCTATCGTGAACTATCGTAATCAGAGAGTTGCATCATCTTAAGACATTACTAAAGACAGTCTTAAAATAAGAACGGATTACGAATATCACTAAATAATAACAATATGATATAGTAAATATCGTAATATAATATTTATCCGTTGCAATAGGTACATAATTTTGATAATTTAAAAGTAGCTCGTTGTTTATTAGATGCAAAATGAGGTATAATTATGCGAGATATGATTACGCGATAATGATTATGCGAGATACACAAATAGTTTCGCTTCGATTTTGAAATAGAATCTTATATACAATACAATATTCAAAAACATTAAAAATTGAAAAATAAATGTGGGCAGTAGACGTCAGTACATTGCCAAATTGAAAATTTCATCTAATTTCAAGTTAATAAAATTGGGTTTTTAAGAATAGAATGCAAAGAAAAGATCAAAGTCCTTTTTGCTTACACTTTTTCACTTTTCTCCTATCAATTTTTAATTTCTTTAATCTTTATTTATTTATATTCGATGAAATACTACATCTTATTTCATATTTATTTTATCAATGCTCATTAATCTTTATTTATTAATAATATTTTTCTAAATAATGAGCGAACTTTGTCACAGTATTTAAGATAATAATCTTGATAATATTAGGGATGCACTGGATATCCAAAAAGTCCGGTATCCGGCATTTTTTTACTATCCAACCGGATATCAGATATCATTAGTAAGGATACCAGATCCAATAAAATTACCGGATATCGCATATCCAGACAGAATATGATATCGGATATAACATTTTCTGAATATCCGATCGGATTCTGAAAAAATGTCTTCTAAAAAAAAGCCTAGAGAGAAAAATATTGTAATTTTACAACAATATTAAAATACTATAGCATCATAAATATGCATACTATGTTTCTAGAACATTTGTATAAGAAAAAAAATATCAATTTAATAATATCAAATTTCAATCGGATATATTCCCGGATACTAATGATGTGTGACTATCCGGTCGAATAATAAAAAAATCGAGAGTAAAAAAGTGCCGGATACTGGATATTTTCCGATGCATCTATTTCCGATGCAATTAATTATCCGGGAATATATCCAGTTGAAATTTTATATTATTAAGGGTTGATTTTTTTATATAAATGTTCTATAAATAAGTATGCATGTTCATAATGCTATAATATCTTGGATATTGCTGCAAAATTACAATTTTTTTTTCTTACCATCTCTATTGCTAATCAAACTCGGATGATAACATTAAAATCATAACTATTATCACTATTTTTCCCTTTTCCTTTTTGTCATCTTTTTTCTTTTTTTTATTCAACTTTTTTTTTAGACATTGTTCCGGAATCCGATCAGATATCCGGAAAATATCGGATATCCGATTCGAAACATTGCCTTCCCGGATATCCGATCGGATAGCGGATATCCGATGTTACGTTCTTTTTTGATATCCGATAATTTTACGATCCGGTACATCTCTAGATAATATATATTATTGAGAAAAAATACTAGGAAAATAAACTTTTTTATTATAAAATTTTTGTACAATTTATTCTTGCATCACAATTCTCATTTTTTCTATTATTCTTTTTCATTTCATTTAGATAAATTTTTTTGTAGTTATTAACAAATACTTACTGAGATTATAATTTTAAAATAGTATAATTTTAGTTGTTGAAGTATGTAAATACCATGGTAAAAAGAAATGTAACCCATTGCGCATAATAATGGAGATTCTGTAATCTCGAATCAGAAATTGATCTTATTTGCGACGCGAATGAATCGCGTGAACTTCTGTAAATGAGCTCAAAATGTGATTGATTTTGACAGATATTTCTACTATCTGTCACTCACTGCGTATCACAATAGATCATCTTTCTTTTTACATCCTTTCTTTTACATAGTAAATGTATTAAAGAAAAGAACGATCGGTAACTTTAAATTGCTTTAATTTTGAAACTATGATGATAAAAATACACTTATAATATTCGATTACAACTAACTCGCGATTATATTAATCAATGATTCCGTTGCCACCATTATCGATAATCATTTAGTATCTTCAAGATATAATTTCTATCAAGATATTTCTACCATGATTTTTAGATAAAGATCGGTTAAAAAAAATAACCCAATTATTTGCAATATTCATTCAATTTGTTTAATAAAAGCATGACCAACATAACTTTTAAATTAATAAACTTTAAAAAAAATAAAAATATATATATATATAAGTATAATATTTATTACACAATCGGTACTACAACACTTTTGTATTAATAAATCATTCAATTATCGCCATTGTCAGTTATTATCGATATCTTTAGGCATACTTTTTATCAATTTTATAACATAATCTGTATAACCGAGTAAACTTTTTAGGAATCGCTAGAAAATATCAAACATTTTTGAACGAACAAATAGAATAGCTCTTCCCTTATGTATTATACAGAGAGTCTTAATTATTGTCTGATTTTATTATACTAAAGAACATATTTAAGACATATTTAACAATGATTTATTATCGAAATTACATTATTGTCAGTTACATTACTTTTATAGAACAAATTGTATTTATGTTATGAAAATTTATTTTTGAGAATGCAGCTATTTGTAAAATTAGTATCAAGAAAAGATGTATTAAATAGATTGAATTATCTTTGACAGTTCATCAATAATCTCTTATTGATATTCCATATATTTTAACACTGTAAATCGTGACTAACTGTTTTATTTAAATGAAGAAAATATGATGTTCTTCCAAGAACTTTTGATAACACAAAAGGCCCACAAAAAAAAATACCCTGTGCTGGGGTGGAGACCCACCTATTCTTATGTATTTTGAGTCGCTGAATACGAATTTGACATCAAAATGAAACCATCCAGGGCAAATTTTTAAATTTTCCAGAGCGAAAATTTGCCCTGAATATTTTGATGTCAGATTTATATTCAGCGACTCAAAATACATAAGAATAGATGGGTGTCCATCCCAGCACAGAGTACTTTTTTTGTGTAATTAACGCATTAAAAATATTTCTTTCAAAAAATGTATATAACAAATTGAGTCTTGTTCTATGCATCATAAATACAATTTTTCTCTCGCAGAAGATAGAATAGAATTTCTTCACAAATAAAATTCACATAAGATTTATGCCGATCATTCTTCCTTGACAGATTATATTATGTTATATTATATTTTTATACTTTCTAATATTATAATATTATATTATATATTATAATATTACATTTTTATACTTTATAATATTATATTATAAAGTATTATTAATGCAGAAGCTATCTGTTTCGCGAATTATCTCCGTGTTCTTCCTATCCATTATTAGGTTGGAGCAAAACGAATAATGCATAAAGCATAAGAAAATCGATCAATTAGAGTTTTTTTTTGTTTCTACAAAAGATTCTGATTGATTCTCTTATGCTTTATGTATGTGATATGCAAAGGTCTGTCCAGCCTTAATAATGGAAAATCTGAAAGAACACGGAGGTAATTCGCGAAATTAGCTTCTGCATAGAAAGTACTCGTGTAAGTCTAAAAAATATTATAATATCAATCTGTGATCACCAGCCTTTTGAATGCCATTGTTTCGTGAAAATTGTGTTTCACCTCATCATGGTGAAAATACACAAGGTGAAGCATTGCGCACAATGGCGATAGAAAAGTGAAAACAATCAATAAATTTTTGCCCTCACTTTCCTGCGTATAATAGCGCTAGCATATTAAACAGCCAATCAAATTTTGCCCCAAATTCCTACTGCGCAATCAGAATACTTCAGAGGCTTCACCTTGTATATTTTCATCAGTATCAGGCTATTCGTTGTCCTGATAATCTACAATATAACTGTAAACTATTAGGTGTTGGAATTAATTCGTAGCGTTTTTAATGAAAGAATGTTATTTATTTCACATGAGCATTAAAAAATACATTAATGAAAGTACTTCCCATCACTTGTAAAACGCTACGAATTAATTCCAACACCTAATACAATGTTCTCGAAATATTAACATTTTAATAATGGATCTGGACATGTACGAAGATAACATGCGAAATACATAGTTTCTGTATAGGTATATATTATGATTTTAGAATCGCAAACAAATATATACGAGTATAACGTAAAGCATTAATAGAACAAAATGAAAACGCGATGTATTAAAAATATTTTTGCAGTGTAATTCCTTGAAATACATATATACATGAAGAATTGAATCGAAAATGTAAAGAGATACAATTTGTTACAGTACGTGGCAACACCACATGTAAATTCTGCTACAAGACGTTCGCGTGCCAATCTGCATTGGAGATTCATTACCGGAGTCATACGAAGGAGCGACCTTTCAAATGCAGCATATGCGATCGAGGTTTTTCTACGAAGGTAATTAAATATATTTTACCTCGAAAGCGTATTATTAATCTGCGAATTATTAATCTCTTCCTCTCTTTCTTTCTCTCTCACTCGTTTTCTCACTTATATTGTATGTCATCTTTGCTGATTTATATCTCGATGTTGTGATACTTTTTTAACAATTTAATCATCTGGATATCATATCTTGATATATCCTGTTGTAAAAGTATTATTATTTTATTTGATTTTCATACAAAAACAGATTTATGTTCGAATTGATGACTTATATAAGTTTTAAACTTCTCAAAATTATGTTAGAAGACATCACAAAATAATATTGTTTAAAAATATCTGCACATCTCTTCAATTATTAGGTGTTGGAATTAATTCGTAGCGTTTTACAAGTGATGGGAAGTACTTTCATTAATGTATTTTTTAATGCTCATGTGAAATAAATAACATTCTTTCATTAAAAAACGCTACGAATTAATTCCAACACCTAATATTGCATAATACCCCTCTAAGAATTCGAAAATATTGTTAATTATTCTGCTTCTAAAGAATGTTCTAAATGAACTATTCACATAACATTAAATAAAAGTTCAAGAAAAACGCTACTTTTTTCATTTGATAAAATGATTAACATAAAACATTTCGTATGTCCTGATCAGCTAATATACATAGGTATAACTGTAAACACTACACATACATTTACTTGAATCTTAATCATTAGCTTAGGATGTTAATCATATAAAATTTCCAGAAAACTTAAATAATACCTATAGTTGCAAAATTCTTATGAGATATGTACTTTAAATGATAAGAAAATGAAATAAAAGAGTAAAAAAAATAATACATATAATATTTCAGCATTATTGCTAGCATTAACGACATTTTGAAAATATGCGCTAATATTTAAGGATTAGTCAACAGTTAGAAATAAATAATTAAATATTAGAAATGCCTTATTCATCACGCAAAGTTTTTTCTGCTATATCTATTCGCACCACTTCTATATTGTCCTCGTTGTTCTGCTGTACTTTCAGAACGATGATTCCGGTCAGCAAGTATGTTCCTGCGCGGATCAACCCTTCGCCGCGAAGGGTCCGATTCTCCCACAACCCAATTCCCAATATCGCTCGTACCCGGCGAAATCGGCCGCCGGAAATAGTGAGAAACCGAAACGCAGGCGGCGGCGGCCTGAGGAACGGAAGAACCGGGGGCGGACAGGAACAGGAGGGGGGCGAAGGCTGACGTCTGTTTATCCTGCCGTCCGCCTGCCCCCGCTGATGCCACCCGCCCTCGGACTTCTACCCTCGGACCACGTCTTCCTGGTAAGAGTCTCCTCTACCAGCAAGCGTACAACACGCGTTCGTCCTGAGATCTCGTGCAATCGATTATCATTTCGACCAAATCAAAATTATTTTTTTTACGTAATAATATTGTATTCTTCTTTTTCGCGATTGAAAAATGATCTGAATTCAATAATTCGAAACATAATTATCACAAGTTTAAGTAAAATATATACATTCGCGCAATATGTGCGATAACTTTATCAGAATAATACAGAAACGTAAATATTGATTGGATATAACGTGAATTATATTACTTTGATTAAAACAAGATATGTAAAAATGAAAAAAAAAGTTACTTTAATTCGTACGTACTCAAATAAAATAAGAAGCAAAAAAGATATTTTGTGAGTTAAATTCATCAAGTCGTTAAAGTTGTATAAATTTAATATATAATTGCAAGATGAACTTCCCATTTAAAATAATAGTATAAAGTCCCTAATCTGTACTATATAACATTCAATGGCGCAGATCGTGTATTGCACACAGATGCCTTACATGGATAACAATGTTACAACTGTTCTTTTCTAGGAACCACAGTCAACTGCTTAATTAAATACAATAGAACGTGTTTTGATGCGCAGGGTAATATGAAGCAGCATATGTTGACTCACAAGATTCGCGATATGCCGCCACATCTGTTCAGCGATCCAAAGCATCAACAGCAGCAGCAACAGCAACAACAACAACAACAGCAGCAGCAGCAGCAGCAACAGCAGCAGCAGCAGCAGCAGCAACAGCAGCAACAGCAAGAACAAGAGACTTCCAGAAGTCCAATGTGCGTCGATGATTCGAGTCTACCGCCCCCACCTCCACCACCTCCACCACCCCCGCCGATGCCACCGACGTCCATCGAGTCTACAATACCGATGAAAAGATCGCCGGAAGGAGATTTGCCAGCACCGAAAAGACCAGCCAGTAAGTATGATTTTATTCGCGTTCGTTCGCTTTCATATGGAAAAAAAGAAAAAAAAGACTTTCTTACACACACACACACACACACACACACACACACACATACCACGCGCGCGCGCGCGCGCATACGCACAGCACAAAATCTGCTTCTTCATCGAGCGCCATCCGTATTATCTGAACTCAGCTTCGCTCGGCTGCGATCTCATTGCTAACGCGTTGTCAATCACGATTGACGGCCTCTCTCGCTAACGAAAAAAACCATAGTTTGGAATGTCTGATGCTATTGCTTCGCAACACGCTTGTTAGATTCACTTTTCTTCCTGCTTCTTGTCCATCATTATTTCTACACGCTAGATTGCTGGTGGCGGATTATGCTTATTCAGTTCATTTCTTCATTCATATAGGACAAATTGGATTTTTTGTAGCTATGGTGGCATCATACTTTTATTTCCGATACTATAATACGAATAAATATGATTTTATTAGATAAAAGACGTCACTGAGTCGATTTACATCACATTTTTATAATTTTCAAGATCCATATAGCCTCAGACTGAGACTTTTACGGTTCTTTAATCATTACCATATCACTACCACGAAGTCAGGGGCAGTTTAGCGAAACCGTTATGTGTATTTGCAGGCCTGCCGAGCAAGCATTTGTGCCAGATTTGCAATAAGAATTTCTCCTCGTCTTCGGCGCTCCAGATCCATATGAGAACTCACACTGGTGACAAACCATTCCGATGCACCGTCTGCCAGAAGGCGTTCACCACCAAAGGCAACCTCAAGGTATAACACATTAATTTTCTAGATGTCGAAAGTCTGAGTCCCTTCTACATGTTCCTGAAAAGTCTTTACTAACACCAGCTAGCCGCTACCGCTTTCTACTAACGCCAAAACGCGTAAACATCGCAAGTCGCTCGAGCTCGATGAAAGATCAGCGCTTTACCCGATTGAAAACTGACGCGCGATATCACCTCTCATCGCCTTTCTGATATTTCTTATCGCAGGTACACATGGGTACTCACATGTTTACCAACGGAACGTCACGCCGAGGTCGACGGATGTCATTGGATATACCTCCCCTGCCAATCACGCCCAAGGACTCGGAGTTTCTGCAAAGACGACCGGACCTTTTTTACCCATATCTTCCCGCGCCATTCCTTAACGGCGTCCAGCAGAAGGTAATACTTATATCGCTCAAACTGAAAGGCTGTTCCGTGTCAGCGTAATTCAAAGGATTAGCATAATAAGTGTTTTATAGATATCTTGCTGAATAGAAATGTTGAATTCACTAAAGGAAAATTCGCGGAAACTTTTAGTTTATTGCATTTTCCAATGTTGCATAACGATTGCTGCTCTATTTAAAATGTTTGATGATATACACGATTAAATACCAGAGACATGACGAGAACCGCATTAACAATCACCGTTTATTTCATTTTTGTAGGTAATTGCTTCCGAATAAACCTAACCAGACGACGTACATTACTTACAGCTGAACGAGATTTCGGTGATTCAAAGTAGCAACGGGTTACCGCCCCATTCCTTGAGCGCGGGTAAATACGCTGCAAGTCTATTCGGTTCGGTGTATGGTGCCGGCGGAGGTGGCTTCTCCTTGGATAAACCAATGGGGCCAACTAACGGACCTCTAGTGGATGGCAAGTCCGCGATACCTTCGGGATCCATGCTCTTCCAAACACCATCGCCCTCGCATTCGCCTGGCGCGTCATCCAATGGTGGTAATCAGACGTCCGCTAGCGTGTCTTGGACCGGCGATACTCTCCAGCACCATTTCGACCGGGAAACACCGAGCAGAACCGAGAACGACGCCACACCGCCCACAGCACGGTTACCACCGCCACCAGCGAGAGGAGAGGGATTAGCCGCGTGAAACTTGACGGATACATATCTTTCCACCTAGATACATGAAAGGCGCGAATGTTCGTTCACAGCGGCAGCATCTCCGCCACGTAAGAGGCTGATAATATAATTGATACAATTCTCTCAGACTGAATTAGTTTAGAAGAAGAAATAAAGAATCGCGACGATTAAATGTTGATAGCGGGCAATCTCGACACCGCCATCCCTCCGTCCCAATCGGCGAAGGTTTATTATCGACTCATTCGGTCCCACAAGACCGCGCGATCATCAGGGAGGAAGCTACGGTTTTCAATCGCGCAATGATGCATCGCGTAAAGATGATTCCGCAAATCTCGATCGGAGCAGTCATAATATATTGCAGCTACCTTTTCCGTGCTGTATTCGTGCATTTCAAAAGAAGACAATCTTCGGAACTGAAAACGATCGCCTAATCTCTCACGTCGGGAGAGCACGACCGGAATGATCACCGGGACAATCGCACGACCGAACGTAGCTCGTTGGTGATCGAGTTTACTTTTGGCATTTCTCCACGTACGAGTGACGACATATCCCTACACACACACTTTCTCTCTCTCTCTCTCCCTCTCTCTTTCTCTCTCTCTCCTTCTCCTTTTTCTTCTTCTTCTTCTTCTTTTTCTTCTCCTCCTCCTCCTTTCTTCATCCCTCTTTGCGCTCGGTAGTAGTTTTCAATGTCTGCAAGCAAAGACACCATGTTCCTATTATCGCGCTAGTCTTAATATGCGTAAAAGGGGTCGGTAGATTCCATCGATCCGTCGACAGCTTCCGAGTAGGCTAGGACACTGAGAGTTTCGACCCCGATTCGAAAACTCTCGATACGCGATGGGGCTCGATCGTGTCACCGTCACTATTCACATTCATCGTTTATTCAAGCCGAAGCTTTCGCGTCGCCGTGATGCGGGCGATTCATGACGAGACGTTCCGCTTAATATTGATCCAGCACGCGTGCTCGATCGAGCCTCGTATAACGTACATACGTATCTACGTACGATTCGCGAATCCTTCGTACGGGATTCGTGGGAGTCCTCACGTTAGACGCGACGCCTAGACTGAGCTCAGCTCGCAAGAGAAGGCGAGTATAGGCATATTGGAGCCACAAGACACGTGGCGTCGCGTCCTTATGGGTGTCCCCGACATAGTTCGACCGTCCATTCGCGACAGCGGTGGTCACCTCTCCGGGTTATCTAAGGCTACGTTATAAATACTTATATACATAAGGATATATAAATATATATCTATATATATGCATATATATATATATATACGAATGTATGTGTAGAAGTATATATATGTGTATATATATTATGAATATAAATATATAAATACATGATTATGCGTATATATATACAAATGTATACATATACTATATTGATGCAATTGAATAGGGCGTCAATTGGACGAGTTGTATATACACGTGATTGTATATGTGTTGCTTCCGTTTGTTTACGATGTGTATGCGTGCGATGTATGTACGTGATAGAAAAACGGAATTAGAACGTGACAAATGCGAAGATGATAGAATATAAGCATAATTTAGAAGGCGGGCCCTATATCTTGTATCATAGTATTATAACAATGATAATAAATTTATTATCATTTACATGCATGGATGGACGTATGCAAGAGAAACAGCATGCGATATATTGCGAATGTTTGCGAATGCCTCGGAATCAGATCTAATTTAAAAAATAACACTTAATACTATTACTTATTAAACGTCCATCCTTCATACATCATCGGCGATGTTTGCGTTGTCGTTGTAAATATTAATTATTACAAAATTACAATATTAATTAAATTATAATAATAAATACTATAACATTTATTATATTTATTATATAATAATATTTGTTTTAAATGTTATAATATTTATTGTGATAATTATAATAATAATAAAATATAACAATTTTAACAAATTTTATAATAAATTATGATAAAAATTATTATAACATTTATTATAATTTTCATTGAAATTGTTTATATTTGCAGATACATCGCCCATAATAATATAATTTAAATTATATACGATGTTATTCATTTTTGTAAGAGATTATCAATTGGAGAAATAATGGCATTAAATGCTATTTAAAATTTACAAAAACTTCCACAATTATTTTTCATTTTATTTTTCAATTTTACGGATAATTCAAACATTTGTTAATTTATACAAATATGAGAGAGACTATGACTATATTATTGGCTATGTTTTAATATATTTTTTTAGACGCGTTTGTAATTATTATATTAGAAAATTAATTATCTATAATAATTTATAGAAAAAATTTTTAATATTAACTTTTATCTGTGATTTTTTAGTAAATAACCTATGTCCACATAAGTAAAATATACATTACTAATGACATTCGACACATTTAAACGGCATGACATGTAACAAAACATCTTTTACATTATTGATTGCGCGTAATTCAATTCTTTTATCGAACATCAACTGAAAATAGCCAGTAATAACTTGATACAGTAGCATTAATCATTATTACCTATATCATTTATATATTTAAATTTCTAAACGATCGAAGCATCGCCAATGAAACGTATATCACACATTTACAATATGTACTAATTTATGATTTATTTATTATTCGTTTTTTTTTTGCGGAGTTCCGATCTGGTACCTATCATCTATGTACATCTATCATATCCACAATAAAAATGTAATTCTTTACACAAATAATACCAAATATTTAATAAACTCGCATATGTAACAAAAAACGACAGATATTTTTTTCTTAGAAAATATGATAGTATACGTTATATCATCAAATATGGATATTGTTTAATATGAAAATCTCCGTATGAAAACATTATTTAACTTGTTATTTAACAAAAACAAATTCCAAATTTACTCTCCATATTTGCAGAAGCAATATTGAAAGTCTTGCATATAAATTTCTTGTTATAAAATTTGTAAACGAAATATTTTAAAAACTCATAGTGTATTTAACTAAAGAAAATTATATTATGTGAATTATAAAAAATGAATAACTGAATTTATACGCGCGGAATATTTTCGTAGGAAGAATTCTGTTCGTCGAAAAGGAGATCATTTATTTCTGCAACGCTGATTATTTTACTTTCGAATAACTTCTTTCATAGCTATGATACATTTAAATATTCTAGAATCATCTTTGAAATTTATGAAAGATCTGCGTGCATGCTATCGTAATTAGTATGATTGACACGCAAAATGGAATTTACGTGTAATTGAGTCTACATGTATGTACATACTCACAAATTAATACTCGTGTAATGGCTTCTATGTATCTTCTCCTTTTTAAGACGAAAGCCAAACTACACATAACACAGCAAATGTTACAGCGATACATGTTACATTACATTGACACACCTAAAAATGAAAAGTTCGCGTGCAATTAAAAAACATACGCACCTCTAATGAACACTTCGATTAGAATTATTCATCTGATTTCTCATTAGAAAGAGAGAAAGATTAACAAAGATAGAGAATATTTCGAAAGAACTCCATAATTTTGACATTGATTAAGTGTTTCTTCCTCCCTCCTCCCCCTTTCTCTCTCCCTCTCTCTCTCTCTCTCTCTCTCTCTCCCCCTTCCCCTCCTCCTTTCATCGCGTAACGTTACCAAAAAAGACTGGAGGGAACCCCCCCCCCTCCAAAAAAAAAGAAGAAAACAAAGTATCACTTCAAATGTACAATCTGCTTTTTTTAGGTATATCGCGTCCCCCAAAAATCAAAATCACTGATAGCTGCTTGCGACTTACCAGTGCACGATTTGTTCGTTTGTCTGCGGGAGATGTGCCGAGAAATTTGCGAGTTCCGTTAGTCGTCGAGGTAGCTTGACTCGACCAAAAACAAAGAGTGATTGAACTTGATGCATCAAAGCATATCGATGTTTTGTACTTATCAGATTATATTTTTACGTTCAAAAACGAAAAAGACGTACTAGAAAGAATGGGAAATATATATCACTGGATAATATTCATCTTCGATGTGTAAGAGTGATTCTAATATAGCTACGATGTATAAATTATTTGTATCGAAAAGAGAAGTGCAAGTTCGATGTATGAATCGTTAAACATTTCACTGATCAATAATTCCAATTTTAACTAGCCGATTACGAATTAGTTGTTTTACAATATATCATAGATAATTTTTTATGAACTTGTATATTTCACAAATATACACAAATACATTTCCCGTAATAATGATAATTCAGAAGCAAAACAATCGATTAGAAAATCTTCCACCACTTATATTTCGTAATGATTACTGACATATAAAATTACAAATCTTTCTATAGAAGAAAATATAGAATTTCTTTCTCCATCTCGAGAAAGTATCAAAGGACACCCTTTCACGAGCAAAGTGCGAAAAAAACTGTATTGTAAATAGTGAATGTGTGGCGAATAAATGATCGATAAGTATAGCAAAGCGATTAGCAAACAGTCGATGTACATCATAAGTGTATTATTAACCAAAATTTTCGTAATTTAATGATTGATACGCGTTTAAGAGGCGCGCGCACATGTACGCCGTATAAATACTTTACACTACGAATGAAACGTTATGCGACACAGACAAAAATATCCCAATAGCCATTGATCTGGCTAATGTCCTGTGAAATTGTCCAAGAAAAGTATTGCTTGTACGATCTTAAGTTACTGTAAATATTGTATAATCCATGTATAAACACGACTGTATTAGATAAAAGACCTATCATTGTAGTTAAATACGTTACGAATCATTATAACTATATCACTTCAACAATAAACCATTATTATGATGATGAAATGGTGAAATTTAAATTAACGATTATCTATGAGCATAATGCATCTTCTTTTATATATAATATATATTTACAGCATATAAAATTTTAATATTTTTTTGTTTTTTATTTTTTAATACGGAATTTCTTTAATATCTTGTAAATTTAATTTAATGTAATATTAATTATAATCTTAAAGATAATTGTTAACAGTTATATATAGTAATTTTAATAATTGTTAATCGTTTGTACATTAATTATTTTTACATTAATTATTTTTATCTGAAAAATAATTAATGTAAAAGAATATGTAAGATTTACATAGTATATTCATAAGAGCTTATATAATTATATAATACTTATATAAAAAAAAAGAGTTTACATATTTCTTTTCATTTTCTTGATTTTTTAAACCATTTTTCAACTTTTTTGATCAATTTTTATCAAATAATGGTTAGTATTTTAAAAAACATTTTACTAAGTACTTATTTTATCGTAACACTTTATGATATTTTTTCAAGTATTATATCCGGAAAAACTGACTTCAACGTGAAGAAATAAATAATAGCGAATGTACCCAACAAGTTTGATGATCTACAGGAGATAATGTCACTGTCGATATGACAGAATCTATAAAAGCAATTCTTTCATTACAGTATTGCATTTCATTTAATTATTATATCACTCAGACTTCTTTTAATTCCAAATTCGATAATAGTGACATTTATAATTCATTTCTGACATTATATTATAATTGTTCTATCTCACTCAAACGCATCTGTCCTTATGTAACTAGAGATAAATCTGAAATAGATCATGTCGGCTTTGTTCCTATTAACGTCGAAATCGTCCGTACACTATCGCCACGCCAGTACATCCATTTTCAATTTGGGAACTACATGACTACGTACATTTTCTGACACTATCGATAAAATCATATCGTCGAAAGTAGATATGGTTCGTCTCTGAACTAAAATACTAAATTCTCAGGACAGAAGCGTGCCGACACTATTCATAGAAGAGATAGTTTAATGAGTCCTTGGACGAATTTTAATTTCGCATCTCTTACATTTGTACATAAAAGTTATTGAATTTTAATAAACGAAATTGAAAATTCAAACAAATTTAATTTAACGAATTTTGTCTTATAATATTTATCTTATAAAATTACGAAGTTATGTTTCTTTATGTAAATTTTCAATCCATTTTTAAAAACATAATTATTAGTATATATCAAAATCTCTATAATTACTAGCAATATAGAGACTTTTAATTTCAATTCAATCTTTTCTAAGCATATATTTGGTCATCTAAAAACCGCGGATACTTTTTAGATGACCCAATATTATCAATTTAAGGTATAATTTAGGAAAAACGAGCTATAGAGGCCCTCCAGCACTTCCGCCAATTTTATTGTATTGACGG